AAGTCCGACAGAGGGCTTGAAAGAATTAAAAGCAATTAAATGACGTCATCGTAAATCACGTGATTAATTATTTCCTTTCTATATTATATCTATATCAAATATTTTTATTCATTATTATTAACTTTTAAGCAATATTTATAACAATAATAACAATTAAAAAACTGTGTAAAAATAAAAAAAAAATCATAACTATGAAAAAACGCAAAAGTAGCATCGCCGTCACAGCTACAGCAGCTGCTGAAGCTACTACATAAGCTGCAACAGCCACCAAAGCTGCTATAAACATAATAATATAGAAATATGGTTACCACTTTGAATAACATGCTTCGTGCAGCTTTTTACCAAATTATTAGCTATGGATGTCAAAACGTCACTTCAACGTATTCGACTAAGGAGACAACAGGCTAAATAGCTGGGGCCATAGCTAAAAAGTTAGTCAGCTATTTTTCATGTATGTACGTATTAACGCTGGAATGAGTCATATAACATAGCGGGCGAACATTCATTTGTACAGGAGTACATACAACCAAATGATTTTTTTTTTTCATAAATACGAAAATTATTTTTCCTTTTTTTGCAAACTTTTTGGGAAACTTCCAGCCGTTTTGTTTAGTTTTTTGGCAAAAGTGTTGGTATGGAAGAAAGAAGCATAGCAGTAATATGTCGTAACATCAACAACAACAACAACAACTTCATCAACATCAACGACATTAGCAATAATTACATCAACATCAACAACAACAACTATAATAATATTAATACAGCTGACATCGACAACAACAACAACAGCAATAGCAGCAGCAACAACAACAGCAACAACAACAACAACATTGATAACATCAAGAACAACATTGATAACATCATCAACATCAACAATCATTACATTAATCCCACACAAAATTTTCTTGTTACCAGCGCTGATGATGTTAACAACAACAACAACAACAACAACAACGTCATCAACTACAACTACAACAATAACATAAAATCGTTCTATAATGACAACAACAATGGCAGTGTTAATATTTTGAATGACTCTATCAACGATATTAATAATAATAATTATGACGTCATCATAGCAAACGAAAGTTACATAAATATGAAAAATTCCAACAACAACAACGACAATAATAACGACAATAATAATTATATTAGCAATACTATTATTAATAATAAGGATAACAAAGAAATGAACAGCCGGAGCAATGAAATTGATGACAACAACAACAACAACAGCAACAACAGCAAAAACAACAACACCAGCAGCAACAACAACAACAGTAGCAGCAACAACAAAAACGATTTCCTAAAAATTGGATCTCGAGTTATTGTGGGAACTAAACACCCCCACACTGGTACACTCCGTTTCATAGGGACAGTCCATTTTAAAAGAGGATTCTGGTGCGGGGTCGAACTTGACGACGAAACGGGCTTGCACGATGGTTTGGTATCGGGGGTGAGATATTTTACGTGCCCCCCTAAGAAAGGGCTTTTCGCTCCCCTCTCGAAAATCCAACCACTTTATTTTGATGGGAAAGTTAGGCCTAAAAATCACGGAGTTTTGTTTGAATGTCCTTTTGAGAAAACAGTGGATACTGACATGAGATCCAGGCTGCCCAGACCTGTTTATAAGAGTTTTATTAGCAAAAACATTTTGGAAATTATGAACCTTGAAGGAATTTGCATAGAAAATGGAGTTCTGAGGGAAAAAAGCGCATCTCCGAAAAGAGTTACTTTCGATTTATCGCCCGATTCACCGGAAAATGATCACGATGACGTTAGCTTGATCGAGAAACAAATTGACGAGAAGCAGAATGCTAAGGATAAACTAAAATTAAAATTTTCAAATCCAAAAATTGAAAATCCTAACAACAAAACTGACGTTGAGTCGGATTTAGACGAGTTGTTAAAAAAAATCGATAGCGAAATCTCTAATGTGCAGACTCCAGACACCGCTGAAATTAAGTTATTCGCTCCAGACTTTCACAAATTTTGCGATAATGAAAATGATAAAGACGACGACGACGATGATTACATTGATGATTATGAATTTTTGCGCTTTGATAAAAATTCAAACTCTGTAAATGTTTCAAACTTAAGCACTGACAACTCGGCCGAAAGAATAAAAAGTTTGGAATTTGATTCTCGACAGTTTGCAAAAAATCCTTCGCTCGTACTCGCCCAAACAGCCATTGCTCAGTACGCTGAACTCTTAAAGGCATCTCAAATAGGACTCGAGAGCCAGAAGCTGAAACTACAAAAATTACCAAACACAATCCCAGATTATGAACATTCAGGAGAGAGTTTTTTGATTCAAAGCAGTGAAACATTTGAAGAAAGACTGTTAACAAATGCTAAAAAGGATGGAGACATCTCCGGGCAGGCACACCAGCTTCCTAGGGCTTCTCTGGATAGTTTGGGATCGACGGATTCCTCCATAAATGATGCTTTTGAGGTTTTCGAGGGAGAGGACATCTCAACTTTCAAGATGCTACTCGAAGATGATGACGATGGCGATGACGTCAGTTATAATAATAGTAAAAATAATAATAATAACAATAATAATTATGAAAATGCAGATGATAAAAACGTTAATAACAATAATTACCATAATTTGAATGGGCTGAAAACAAGGTTCATAAGCAGCAGCAAATGCGGACATGTTAAAAATGATTCTCCAGATATTTTTGGCAGGGCCAACGAGGTTTGCAACTTTCTAGACAACTTGCTAGAAACAGGCAAAGAGCTTGAAAAATGGCTGGAACTTTCAGTGTCCGGAATGACAGGTCAGGATAAATTAGGGACTGAAATTGATGATAAAAAAGTAAGTAAGACAAAAAATTATGATTGTTGGAGATTATCAGATAATAAAACTAACAAAATAAACCATAACCAGCATGTAAAACTCAATGACAACAAATCTGATAAAGAAATAGTCCCATTAAAACAGTATAAAACGGATTCAAATTTGCTTGGCGAAGTTTTATCTAGTAACAACGAGAACCGAGTCGACCACTACATCCGAAACAGACAAAAAGATCCAGTTTCAGTCGAAACTGACAACAATTTTAATCAAAGTACTATCACAAGAAGTATAAATGAGAAACAAACAAGCATCAAAAAGAGTAAAAACAGTAAATCATTCGACGAGAGTCTCTTAAAATCTGACCTAGTAATCCTAAACAATCCGTTCGATTTAGATGAATTGAGTTTGGTATTAAAACACTCACTGCCGATGGTCTCAAATTACGAAAGTTGCGATACTGGTTAGAAAATAAAATAAAATGTTCTATAAAAATATTATTATTATTAATATTGTCGTTACTATTATTATAGTTGCCACCGTACTATTGTAACTATTACCGTTGTTGTGGTCATTGTCTGTCTCTTCATTCATCTATTCACTCATTCATACCTTCATTCATTCATTCATTCATTCATTCATTCATTCATTCATTCATTCATTCATTCATTCATTCATTCATTCATTCATTCATTCATTCATTCATTCATTCATTCATTCATTCATTCATTCATTCATTCATTCATTCATTCATTCATTCATTCATTCATTCATTCATTCATTCATTCATTCATTCATTCATTCATTCATTCATTCATTCATTCATTCATTCATTCATTCATTCATTCATTCATTCATTCATTCATTCATTCATTCATTCATTCATTCATTCATTCATTCATTCATTCATTCATTCATTCATTCATTCATTCATTCATTCATTCAACCATCCATTCATCCTCCGTTAGTTAAATGCTGGGAATTAATGCTTCAAGATCTAATTTGCAAGTTATTTGAATTGCTTTTTTGATTTTTCAAAAATAACTCTTTTTTTTGCTTTTCGATTTAGGTTAAATAAATTCTTGTTGTTATTGTTATTATTATTATTATTATTATCATCATCATTATTATTATTATTATTATCATCATCATCATTATTATTATTATTATTATTAATATTACGCACTTTCACACTTTTTCGTTTTTTTTTTCAAAAAAATTATTTAAATCATCGCAATTGATAGCTCGTACAATTACATTATTATTATTATTATTATTATTTGTTATTATTATTTATTTATTATTATTATTTATTGTTGTTTTTATTATTTGTACTTTTCAGAACTTTCAAGTCATAATTTTGCCGAATTTAAATTTATTTATCTGGCGTTTGTTTTTTCAGAATAAAAGCAGATACCACAAAACTTGTTCTTTCTTTTTCAGTTGATTTTATTTTTATTCATTTTGTTGGCCTTATTAAATTATAAAATTACTCACAACATACACACTCACACATACACACACGCACACAACACACGCAGACACACACACAACAAACATACAGACACAAACATACAGACATACAGACAGACACAATTAATCAATTTATATTTGGATAAATATGTAATTGGATATATAAAATTGTTAATTTAAGTTGTGATATTGGTAAAATAAATGATAAAACCAATAAATGAACAAACGAATGAATGGGTGGTGGGCAAGAGAATAAATATATGAATAAATAAAATATTTATATAAACAAATGAAGTAATTAACTAGCTAATTGGTTAAATAATTTTTCAATTAATTAAATTAATTAATTAATTACGACAGGCTGTCCAATGGAGTTAGACGGAAAAGATAACGACGACCCGCTTAGCCCATCATTTTTTTCAAAAAATTTCGATCCAACGGCCGACAGTCTGTTAACAGAATCATGGAATGATGTTTTGAAGTCTCCAAGTTTTAACGATCCCATCAATTTCGACGAAGACAGCCAAACTTTAAACGATAATCTCAGTAGAGATGAATGCGACGGTTTGGACCTTATCGACTTTTCAAATGATCCTATTTGGAAAAATATTGAAGGTAACAGTCGATATGAACCCATGTCTGAGAGCCAAGAATCTTCTGATTTGAACATTTTACTGAGAAATAGTCAAGATGTTAACGAAGCTTTTGCCAAGTGTCCAGAATTTTTTCCAAAAACTAACGAAACGATTGATTTTTTCCGGCTAAATCCGGAAACATTGGCATCATTAGATACTCTAGCATCGTTTGTTTCAATGGAAAACAGCTGCAGCAACAACAACAACAACGGTGATCGAAACGGAAGTGTCTCCAGTTACAGTTCAAGTCAGAGAGAACAAGACTTGGTGCCGCAAGATTTGCTAGATGAAAGCTTTGGCAGTAGGGGTTTGGTAAGGTTGGAAGATTTAATGGTGGATTTAAGCCCAGGGATTTGTCATACAAATGAAAAATTTTTGGAAAAAGATAAACCTTTTGAAACAAATGCTACTAATAAAGAGTTAACTGTAGCTGCAAAAACTGATTCTATTTATAAGTGCAATAAAGTTGCTGATGATTGTAATACAAACAGTAGTAATTTTTTTGCTGTAGAAAGAGAAAATGAAACTGAAAGTGAAATTGAAAAAGTTTACGCGATGAATGATAATATTCTTGAAGAAATTCCAACTAGCAATGCAAATCAAACGTCAAATAAACCACAAATTAAAGACAGCACATACGAAACTAAAAAATCTTCAAGCCATCATCTTCAGAGACGTCAGCCTATTGAAAAATCCAAAAAATCCAAAACGCAATCCCATGATCCTTCTAAATCCATTCCGTCAAAACAATTTCAAGCCACGACATCAACTACCACAAAAACGGAAATATCAGGCAAACAACAACGACTACTTACCACTACAGCCACTAATGTCGCCACAACCACAACCGCTACAACTGCCAGCAAAACCACAAGTGGCCGCCCAATCAAAAAATCTGCAACATTTGGTCTTCAAGACGCTACAGAGGAATTTAATTTAAACGAAAAACTTCCTACTGACAAAACAATTTCAGATGAAAAATTTCAACCGAAAAATAACCAAACAGAACGAAGTAAAAGCAAAAAATCGAGCCAAGAAAAGATCAACTCGCTTACTAGTTCAACATCATCGTCGGTAAAGACCGCTATTGAAATTTCAAACTTTAGTAAAACTATTTCTTCAAAAAATGCAAAAAACAACAAGAATGAGGTTGGAAATAAAGCTAATGCAAAAAAGAAAACACCCACTAATACTACTAATAATTATAACTACAACAACACTAAAATAAATGTAGTATCCATACCGCCATTGTGTGCATCAACTCCAGTCCCAAATTCTGAAATTACAGCCATCCAATGTCTACCAACACTCCAAAATAACAAACTAGATCTAAATCTTAAGAATAACAACCGCCAGATTGAAAAATCAAAACAGACAAAACACAAAAATGGTCTTAAAATTTTAATTCCCGAAAAAACAATCTCAAATTATGGTGGGGGCAATGGAGATCTGATGAGTTCTTCCTCTAAAGAGAACAAACCCATGACTGGAAGTTTTATAAAAAATAAGATCAGGGAACAAAATAATAATTTTAAAAACATTTCTCGCGAGATGTCAGACAGCAGCATCAATGTTTCTAAACATTCATCTCAGACTAGCTCGAAAAT